CCCCAGGGTCCTAAGTTCCTCCTGTTTAAATTTAGAGTTTACCAAAAATATACAAGTCACTCTTCCACGGTACACACTTTACTCCTTTGTATCCAATATCCAAATCAGTATCATGCATCGATGCATGCAGACATGGGTAAGTGGGCCTGCTGAAGTTCAGAGCATGTGAATGGAGAAGGAAAGTGATTAAAGTTGGTTACTGGTGCCACTGCCAGATGGGCTGTTCTGAGTATTTCAGAAACTGCTGATCTACTTGGGATATTTGCAAAAAAAGAGAACTTGGATATTCAAAATAAAAAGAAGATATTCACCAGGAATTTTGCCACATGTTCACGGCTGAATGCATGGTCGTAGCATTCGTGCTCTGACAGCCTCCTCTCACAGAGCAAACACAGAAAATGTGCTTCTGGGGAATTGGGTTCTTTGACATATAAATCATACATCACGATGAACTCGATGCCTGCAATGAAGAATGAAAACAGCAGTTACAATCTGAGTAAAAATTTATTTCTATAGCACCTTTAGAGATAAACATCCCAAAGGGCTTCAGAACAAAATACCCAAGCACAAAAACAAAACATTAACCAAACCCAAGTCTCAAATTATTTTATTTTTTTAGCTGTTTCTGTTATAGTGCCAGCATGTTTAGGGGAGACAGACACCATCAGATCCCCTCTTTAGGGCAAACATGTGTGCGGATCACTATGAATATAAGTATGGATGGGAGCGAGGAAATCTTTTGTTGCACTGTAGAATGGGAGATGTCAGCCTATGTGTGAAATAAATATCTCAGACTTTCTTGGAATTACTCTCTTTATCATCTCCTTCCTCAACTCAACCAGCATCATTACAGTGGGATACAGAATTGGTGATATTCACTCTCTTCTGAGTCATAATAAGAATATTTTAATAGAGACCTTGACAGTCTTATTCTAGTAGTACTTACCAAGTAGAGGAAATGATTCATTTCCTTGGAGCTTGCTATATGTTTGACAAGGTGGAACTGCAGAGGCATAAACAAAAACAACCAAAAATCATTATTTAAAGAAAAAAGTTTCAATTT